ATTGAGAAGTGTAAAGCTATTTGTTTCCAAATTTAGAAGTTCCTTTCTTTTTTGAAGGACTAAAAAGGAAAGTGTGTTATATAAACTAGAACGAAGCTAAGGGAGTATTATATTAAGACTAGGAGATGAATGATTTGATGAATTTTCTTACTGTGTTTTTTCAGCTAAGGTGAATGGCTTAGCTTGCAAAGATCCCAAGTCTGTTGGAGCAGAGGACTTTTTCTTCAGTGGCCTACATTTGGCTGGAAACACATCAAACACTTTTGGCTCTAAGGTCACTCCTGCCAATGTAGCTCAAATTCCAGGACTGAACACTCTAGGTATCTCACTGGCACGCGTCGACTATGCACCATGGGGAATTAATCCTCCTCACACTCACCCAAGAGCTACTGAGATAGTCACAGTCCTTGAAGGTTTTCTTCAAGTTGGTTTTGTAACTTCAAATCCTGAAAATCGCCATATTACTAAGGTCCTTAAAAAAGGCGATGTGTTTGTTTTCCCAATTGGACTTGTTCACTACCAACGCAACGTGGGAAAAGGAAATGCTGTTGCTATTGCTGCTTTGAGTAGTCAGAATCCTGGTGTTATAAGCATTGCTAATGCAGTTTTCGGATCTGAACCAGCTATAGCAACAGATATTCTTGCCAAAGCTTTTCAAGTTGATGCCACTGTTGTTGCTCAGATACAATCAAAATTTTAAGCAGCAAGTTTACTTACAAACAGACCTGAGTTGACAGCATTTTGTTTTTCGTATGTGGTGATGATGGAGTGAGACGTTTATTTGTTTACTGTGTGATGATTTGTTTATTCTAGAGGTTTTATATTGTATGTACTTCAATATATTCATTCTTCAGTTAATTTCTTGAAAGTTAAAGCTGTTACTATGTGAATGGACCAAAATTTTGTGATGAGATGATTCAGTAGAAAAAGTAGAGACGGAATGCAAGTAATGATCCTTTTGAGGAACTATAGTAAGTTGAGTTACTCGAACTTTTCACATATCAAGAAACGAATTTGTTAGTTTCTAATCCAAACAGTGAACTCTAACGCAGCTCTTTGAAATCAGTTAATAGAAATCATTAGACATCAAGAACCACTACACTAAACTCTTAACTGATAAAAGAACTCGAACCAATTATATACATGAATGGCTAGGTAAAATGTATTTAAAACTGCCTGTAGCTTGCTCCAGATGACATGAGCTGAGTAAAAATAAGCATAACCAGATTGGTGTTATCGCTCGATGATGAGTAACTTCTATTATAAGATAACATCTTTTCCTGTGTAGTCTTCATGACACCAGATTCCTTCTGCAACAAACTGTACCATAATTAATGTGAAAAACTTAAGTATACATCAACATGACTTGAATTGCAACATCGTTAAATAGTTCAATAAAATGATTTAAAAGGTAAATGCCTACTGTCTTCATGACTTAGACTTGCGTACTGAAATCACATCATAAAAAATTATTAAACGCAACTGATTCAAAGTCTTTTAGACAAGGTGACATTTGTCTTAAAGAGTGTTCATGAACTCTTGTATAATATTCTTTCCCAGATTTATTGCCAAATAACAGATTGAGGTGTTCCTGATATGACTTATGATATCATAGGTAGCTTTGTAAATCAAAAGGCCTAAACTGGAATTAGACTCATAAACTAGCTAGGATGCTGTATTATTACACTTTAACTTTAGCATTCTCTGTAATTCTTTACTGCAATATAATCTGTGATAAATGCATGTTGAGATGTTCAAAGAGCTTGGTTTCAATTTGTCTGTGAAAGGATACATCGTGAGTCATATGGTACGTTGGTATCGTTGTTTTATGTGTCTGGGACATAGGCACTAAAGGACTACTGGCTGGAAAAATGTGAATAACCAGTGAAAGGGGATAGACTGGAAAAGAAATATAATTTTATATAAGTAATTGTTTGCCAAATCTAGTTAATGAGTTCTGTTGAAACGATAGTTAAAACTCTAGCTCCGCCCTGTGAACAAATCCTCCATTTGTCCATCCAAGGTATTCAAAAATCACACTTATTATCCTTAAAATATTAGTCTTTTGGACCATTTCCTTTGTCCTAAGCCGGCTAACTTTTTTCTGCAAATGATGTCATATCACTGCCAATGACAGCTACTCATTGTCAAAGTCTTCATGTGTGCTTGGACGGCTCTTCACAATATTTTCAAAGAAGACACAAATTACTCACTAAAACTCGTAGCACTTTTGTATGCATGAAGCATTTTCTCTCTTCTATATAAGGAGACTATCTTATCAATCACTTCATCCCACAAAAAGAAAAACATCTTTCTTCTCTTCAAATAGTTGCTTCTCCTAGCTTTTGTTCTTTAGTTCTTGAAATGGCTAAGCATTTTCTCCTGCTGAATCTAATAGCAGTAGTAAGTTTCTGCTGTGTTGTGATAGCTTTTGAGCCAAGTCCAATGCAAGATTTCTGTGTGGCCGATCCTACTAGCACAGGTATTGCAAATCAGTAAATCGCGATTGTATCTCATTTTTAACTCTTATGTTCTCCCTCTATTCTAATTTATGTGACATAGTTTGAATCAATATGGAGTTTAAGAAAAAAATAAAAACATTTGAAACATGTCATAACATTTGTGCAGTTAAAACAACTTCTCATGAAGTGTAACAGGAGAAGTTTTGTTTCCAAATTTAGAAGTGTGTCATTATTTTCGGAACAAAAGAAGAAAGGAAAAATGTGTCAGATAAACTGGAATTCATGGAATATTATATTAGGACTAGAAGATCAGTAATTAATGAGTTTGCTCACTGTATTTTATGTTCCTATTGTTTCAGTTAAGGTAAATGGCTTATCTTGCAAAGATCCCAAGTCTGTTATCGCAGAGGACTTCTTTTTCAGTGGCCTACATTTATCTGGAAACACATCTAACACTTTTGGCTCTAAGGTCACTCCAGCCAATGTAGCTCAAATACCAGGAGTGAACACTCTTGGCATCTCACTGGCACGCGTAGACTATGCACCATGGGGAATCAACCCTCCTCACACTCACCCAAGAGCTACTGAGATACTCACAGTCCTTGAAGGTTTTCTTCAAGTTGGTTTTGTAACTTCAAATCCTGAAAATCGCCATATTACTAAGGTCCTTAAAAAAGGTGATGTGTTTGTTTTTCCAATTGGACTTGTTCACTACCAACGCAACGTGGGAAATGGAAATGCTGTTGCTTTTGCTGCTTTGAGTAGTCAGAATCCTGGTGTTATAAGCGTTGCTAATGCAGTTTTCGGATCAGAACCAACTATAGCAACAGATATTCTTGCCAAGGCTTTTCAAGTTGATGCCACTGTTGTTGCTCAGATACAATCAAAATTTTAAGCAGCAAGTTTACTTACAAACAGACCTGAGTTGACAGCATTTGTTTTTCGTGTGTGGTGATAATGGAGTGAGACGTTTATTTGTCTACTGTGTGATGATTTGTTTATTCTAGAGGTTTTATATTGTATGTACTTCAATATATTCATTCTTCAGTTAATTTCTTGAAAGTTAAAGTTGTTACTATGTGAATGGACCAAAATTTTGTGATGAGATGATTCAGTAGAAAAAGTAGAGACAATGCAAGTAATGATCCTTTTGAGGAACTATAGTAAGTTGAGTTACTTGAACTTTTCACATATCAAGAAACGAATTTGTTAGTTTCTAATCCAAACAGTGAACTTTAATGCAGCTCTTTGAAATCAGTTAATAGAAATTATTAGACATCAAGAACCACTACACTAAACTATTAACTGATAAAAGAACTTGAACTAATTATATACACAATTGGCTAGGTAAAATGTATTTTAAACTGCCTTTAGATTGCTCCAGATGACATGAGCTGAGTATAAATAAGCATAACCAGATTTGTGTTATCGCTCAATGATGAGTAACTTCTGTTATAAGATAACATATTTTCCTGTGTAGTCTTCATGACATCAGATGCCTTCTGCAACAAGCTCTACCATATTTAATGTGAAAAATTTAAGTATATATCAACATGACTAGAATCGCAACATAGTTTAAATAGTTCAACCAAATCATTTAAAAGGTAATGCCTACTGCCTTCTTGACCTATACTTGCGTACTGAAATCACATCATAAAAATTTAGTAAACGCGACTGATTCAAAATCTTTTTGACTAGGTAACATTTGTCATATAAGGAGTGTTCATGAACTTTTCTATAGTATTCTTGCCCAGATTTATTGCCAAATAACAGATTGAGGTGTTTCTGATATGACTTGTGATATCATAAGTAGTTTTGTAACTCAAAAGGCCTAAACTGGAATTAGAATCATAAACTATCTAGGATGCTGCATTATTACTCTCTAACTTTAGCATTCTCCGTTATTCTGTTAACCGCAATATAATCTGTGAAAAATGCATGTTGAGGTGTTCTAAGAGCTTGGTTTCAATTTGTATATGAAAGGATACATCATGATTCATATGGTATGTTTGTATCATAGTTGTATGTGTTCGGGGCATAGACACTACAGCACTACTGGCTGGAAAAATGTGAATAACCAGTGAAAGGGGATAGAGTGGAAAGGAATATTATTTTATAGAAGTAATTTTTTGCCAAAGCTAGTTAATGAGTTCTATTGAACCCGTAATTAAAACTCTAGCTTCTCCCTGTGAACAATCCTCCATTTGACCAGGTATTCAAAAATCACATTTATTATCCTTAAAAGTTAGTCTTTTGGACCATTTCCTTTGTCCTAAGCCGGCTAACTTCTTATTCTTGTCTTATCACTACAAATGACAGCTACTCATTGTCAAATTCTTCATGTGTGCTTGGACGGCTCTTCACAATATTTTCAAAAAATACACAAATTACTCACTAATACTCCAAACATACCTGAAGCACTTCCTCTCTTCTATATAAGGAGACTATCTTATCAATCACTTCATCCCACAAAAAGGAAAGCATCTTTCTTCTCTTCTAATATTTGCTTCTCCTAGCTTTTGTTCTTTAGTTCTTGAAATGGCTAAGCACTTTCTCCTGCTGAATCTAATAGCAGTACTAAGTTTCTGCTGTGTTGTGTTAGCTTTTGAGCCAAGTCCAATGCAAGATTTCTGTGTGGCGGATCCTATTAGCACAGGTATTGCAAATCAGTAAATAGCGATCTGTATCTCATTTTTAACTCTTATATTCTCCCTCTATTCTAATTTATGTGACGTAGTTTGAATCAACATGGAGTTTAAGAAAAAAATAAAAACATTTGAAACATGTCATAACATTTGTGCAGTTAAAACAACTTCTCATGAAGTGTAACAGGAGAAGTTTTGTTTCCAAATTTAGAAGTGTGTCATTATTTTTGGAACAAATGAAGAAAGGAAAAATGTGTTGCATAAACTGGAATACATGGAATATTATATTAGGACTAGAAGATCAGTAATTAATGAGTTTGCTCACTGTATTTTATGTTCCTATTGTTTCAGTTAAGGTAAATGGCTTATCTTGCAAAGATCCCAAGTCTGTTATCGCAGAGGACTTCTTCTTCAGTGGCCTACATTTAGCTGGAAACACATCTAACACTTTTGGCTCTAAGGTCACTCCAGCCAATGTAGCTCAAATTCCAGGACTGAACACTCTAGGTATCTCACTGGCACGCGTAGACTATGCACCATGGGGAATTAATCCTCCTCACACTCACCCAAGAGCTACTGAGATAGTCACAGTCCTTGAAGGTTCTCTTCAAGTTGGTTTTGTAACTTCAAATCCTGAAAATCACCATATTACTAAGGTCCTTAAAAAAGGCGATGTGTTTGTTTTTCCAATTGGACTTGTTCACTACCAACGCAACGTGGGAAATGGAAATGCTGTTGCTATTGCTGCTTTGAGTAGTCAGAATCCTGGTGTTATAAGCATTGCCAATGCAGTTTTCGGATCAGAACCAGCTATAGCAACAGATATTCTTGCCAAGGCTTTTCAAGTTGATGCCACTGTTGTTGGTCAGATACAATCAAAATTTTAAGCAGAAAGTTTACTTACAAACAGACCTATGGAAGCTTGAGAGCATTTGTTTCTTGTGTGCGTGATAAAGGAGTGAGATCTTTATTCATTTACTGAGTGATTCGTTAACAGATAATCACTAGAGGAATATCTGTATCAATTTATTTGTTCTAGAGCTTTTGTGTTGTATGCACTTTGATTTCATTCTTCACTTAATTTCTTGAAAGTAAAAAGTTTATTGGTATGTGAATGGCCCAAAATGTTGTGATGAGATGATTAACTAGAAAAAGCAGATACAATACAAGTACTGATCCTTTTGAGGAACTATAGCAAGTTTGAGTCACTCGAACTTTTCATATGTCAAGAACCAAATTTGTCAATATTCTAATCAGCTAGGACAATCACCGCGGTCACCTCAAAATCAGCCTAATATCCAAACAGTGAACTCCAACACAGCCCTCTGACATCAATTAATAGAGAGTAACTTTTGTTATAAGATAACATCTTGTCCATTGTTGTGTAGTCTTCATGACATCAGATGCCTTCTGCAATAAACTGTACCATAGTTAATGTGAAAAATTAAGTTTCTATCAACATGATTTGAATTGCAACATCGTTTAAATTAGTTCAACCAAATTATTCAAAAGGTAATATCTACAGTCTTCATGACTTATACTTGTGTACTCATGAAATCAAATCATGAAAAAATACTAAACGCGAGTGATTCAAAATCTTTTTGACATTGTAACATTTGTCCTAAATAGTTTGCATGAACTCTTGTACAGTATTCTTGACCAGCTTTATTGCCAAATAACAGATTAAGCTTCAATTTTATATGATGACCAGAACTGACATACTATTCCTGATATGACTTGTGATATCATAGGTAGTTCTGTAACTCAAAAGGCCTAAACTGGAATTATAGTCATAAAACTAGGAAACTGTATTATCACAGTCTCTATATTTACCATTCTCCGTAATTCCTTACCGCAATATAATCTGTGATAAATGTGTGTTGAGATGTTCAAAGAGCTTGGTTTCAATTTTTCTGTGAAAGGATACATCATGATTCATATGGTACTACATTGGTATCTTTGTTTAATGTGTCGTCAGCATAGGCACTACAGCATTACTGGTTGGAGAAGTGCAAATAACGAGTGAATGGAGTCAGACAGAGTGGATAAGGGAAACTTAATTTTATAGAAATATTTTTTTTGCCAAAGTTTGTTAATGAGTTCTGCTGAACCCATAATAAGAACTCTAGCTCCGCCTCCATGAACAATTCCTCCATTTGTCCATCTGAGATATTCAAGAATCACATTTATTATCCTTAAGAAATAGTCTTTTAGACCATTTCCTTTTGTCCTGAGCCAGCTAACCTCTTATTCTTGACTTGTTTCTGCAAATGACAGCTAATTGTTGTCAAAGTCTTCATGTGTGCTTGGGCGGCCCTTCATAATCTTTTCAAAAAGACACAAATTACTCACCAAAACTCAAAGTATCTTTGCATGCATGGACTCTTTCTTCTCTTCTATATAAGAAAACATCCTCCTTCTCTTCCAATATTTTCCCATCACTCTTGCTTCTGCTAGTTCGGAACTGAGACATAGTTAATATTGTTGTTTTGCTTCTTTTCTTTAGTTCTTGAAATGGCTAAGCACTTTCTCCTGCTAAATCTGATAGTCGTAAGTTTCTGCTGTGCTGTGTTAGCTTTTGAGTCAAGTCCAATGCAAGATTTCTGCGTGGCCGATCCTGCTAGCACAGGTATTGTAAAACAGTAAATCGCGATAAGAACCTCATTTTCCTGTTATATACTCCCTTTGTGCCAATTTATCTGACATAGTTTGAGTCGGCGCAAAGTTTATTTTAGAAAAATATAAAGACCTTTGAAACTTGTGAACTTAAATAGTTTAAGAGCTTCTCATTAAGGCCAAAGAAGAAGTGTAAAGACAGTCGTTTTCAAATTTAGAATTGTGTCGTTCTTTGGAATACTAAAAAGAAAAGTGTGTCATATAAACTTGAATGAAGCTGAGGGAGTATTATGTTAGGACTAGAAGATCAATGATTTGATGAGTCTACTCATTGCATTTTTCCCATTGTTTCAGTTAAGGTAAATGGCTTAGCTTGCAAAGATCCCAAGTCTGTTATCTCAGAGGACTTTTTCTTCAGTGGCCTACATTTGGCTGGAAACACATCAAACACTTTTGGGTCTAAGGTAACTCGTGTTAATGCGACTCAAATACCAGGACTGAACACTCTAGGTATCTCACTGGCACGCGTAGATTATGCACCATGGGGAGTTAATCCTCCTCACACTCACCCAAGAGCCACTGAAATATTCACAGTCCTTGAAGGTTCTCTTCAAGTTGGTTTTGTAACTTCAAATCCTGAAAATCGCCTTATTACTAAAGTCCTTAAAAAAGGCGATGTGTTTGTTTTTCCTATTGGACTTGTTCACTACCAACGCAATGTGGGATATGGAAATGCTGTTGCTGTTGCTGCTTTGAGTAGTCAAAATCCTGGTGTTATAAGCATTGCTAATGCAGTTTTCGGATCAGAACCAGCTATAGCAACAGATATTCTTGCCAAGGCTTTTCAAGTTGATGAAACTGTGGTTGCTCAGATACAATCAAAGTTCTAAAGCAACAGCAAATATGGAAATTTCAAAAGTGTGTTATTTGTCGCTTAGTTTGGTTGTATTAATTTTGTATGTACAATTGTTTGATTCAATAGCTTGAAATTGTAATAGTACTATTGTGAATTAAACATTAGCTTTGATCAAAGAAAAAAAAACTAACCCATCACCTTAACGGTGTGGGGGGTTAGGCTTGACCCCTACCATGTATATGACATCCAAAAAGTTACAAACGCAGAGGGGGATATGGACCTAGCTTCTTATAGAGAACGAGGGTAGAAACTAAACAATCTGCAGAAAGGCTAAAATGATGTGGTACTGTCTCAAATTAATTTAGCAAGTAAACACTTAGAATGTGTACTATGGACCAAAATGAACTATCTTTGCTATGTTCATGTCTCAAAATTTCACCACCAGACAACAAATGGAGGTTTTCTTGTCTCAAAATACATTTTGCCCAACATTATCAAATGGGACTCTTGAAGGTCAAGATATGCTGCAAAGTCGCTAAAGTAAAAAACTCATTGAGCAGAATAAGCTATGAATCAAAGGAAGACACTATTCTTCTCACAGCAAAAAGAACACTCACATTGCTCATATAGAAACCATAAGTACCACTGTTTGTGAGATAATCACTGCCAAGATATGTATATATAGAAATAGTAAAAATTACTTCTTTTTAGAGGAAACTTAAAACAACTAAATTGATTTGGCTATGACAACTATCTAGAAGGAAGAATCATATTCCAGATACAAATGACACCATAATCATGCTTCTGCTAGTTTTAATCGTGGGACAATGTTCATTGATTGGAGCTCCTGAAATAGGAGTTTGCATGCATAAGGCAACTTCATCGTAGATATATTTTCCCCGTTCTTGCACATAGAACAAATGCCAGTCTTCAGCTTGTAGTTGTAATACCCCAATAAACCACATTTTCGGCAAACCTGAACCTCGAATGGGTCACTGGAAATCATCAAGCGCTCGTATATCAACATACTGGCACCATATGCAATCAAACAATCACGTTCCATTTCTCCCACACGTAAACCTCCATTTCTACTCCTTCCTTCGGTAGGTTGTCTTGTCATCATAACACGAGGCCCACTCCCACGAGCATGCATTTTATCTAGGACCATGTGTTTCAGCTTTTGATAATATATTGGCCCCATGAAGATGTATGCTTGTAGTGGCATACCAGTAATGCCTGAATAAATAAAATCCTTGCCATTGTAGCTAAATCCATGCTTTACCAGAGTTTCACTGATAGAATCAACTGTGTCTGCATGACCACTGGGTTCTCCGAAAGCACTCCCGTAATGAAACCTACCACATGAAACTCCAGCTTTACTTCCAAGGAGCTCAATCATCTTTCCCACTGTCATTCGGCTTGGAAATCCGTGAGGATTCATAATAAGATCAGGGCAAATGCCACGTTCAGAAAATGGAAAATCTTCCTGTTGTACAATGGTGCCACAGACTCCTTTCTGCCCATGTCTACTACTAAATTTGTCACCAATCTCAGGCCTACGGGTATGACGGATCATAAATTTGATGCTTAAATTGTTGTTTCTATCAGAATAAAGAGCCACTCTATCAACAACAGCTGTCTCCCCTTCAGGACCTTTATAAGTTTGTCTACTTGTCTTGTATGCACTATCTGGCAAACCCATAGGAGACGTGATTGGAGTCCTCGTGACTGTAGGGGACTCCTTGTTGATATAGATATCATGATTTCGAATAGTTTCTCCTGGAGCAGCCATTCCATCATCATCCAGAATTTGCATCTTATCAGCTTCAAATCCTTGACGCTGTGGTTTAATTATTCTATCCGATGTGCCATTCTCATACTTCTGACATATGGCTGAATATTTTTTCATCACTATGCAACGCCCAAAACCTCGATCTAAAGAAGACTTGTTCATTACTATTGCATCCTCAATGTCATAGCCACTATAACTCATCACAGCAACAGTCGCATTCTGACCAGCCCCTAGTTTATCATACCCAACCAGCTCGATCGTTCTTGTAGTCAGTAAAGGGCGTTGAGGATACACCAAAAGGTAGAGCAAACCATCCATCCGATTCAACTGGTTATAGGCAATGTTTCCCATAGCTTGCTTACCCATAGCACACTGATAGGTATTCCTGGGGGACTGATTGTGATGAGGATAAGGTATCAAACCAGCACAAACACCTAAGATTGTGAAAGGCTCAATCTCAATATGTGTTGTCTCTGGTGTCGCCTCCTTTTCGTATAGAGCAATCTGAGAAACATGCATTATTGCAGTCAGTTCTAGCGTAATTAATACTCTTTAACATAAAATGCACTTATCATTTGCTTGACACGGACCAATGTGTTGTTCTCCTCGTTGACATCAAGATACTCTATCAAACCATCCTTTAGAAAGCTGTCGAAGTCACGCACACCATCCTTCAATAAAAAAAATCAGATCAGATGTGGACCTGACATGAAAACATACAGCTCAGAAGTAAGAACCAGGTAAGATGAGTACCCTCAACTCTCTCATGTGGTGCTCTTTGATCCTGGAAACACCTTTGTCAGCAATGACAAGCGGACGACAAACACGTCCACCATCTGAAGCAATGTAGACACAGCGCTGCAAGAGATTTCCTCCGACTTATATATAATCATTCAAATCATATTTCAAATGATAAAAGCAAAGAGGAAAAATGCAAATATTTTGCTAACAGCACTATGGTGGAGCAATGCTAACCAAAAACTACCAGAGATATAAGAATTGTCTATAAGGCTCTGAATCCAGTCTTCATCCTGACAGCTTGAACCAAAAGGGATTCAACCCCAGCATAGGTAGTTTTATCAAGTGACAAAATCAATACTAGGACGGAGATGCAAAAGAACCAACTGTCAAATTACCTGCTTTTCGTTCACGAAAATGCTTACAAACTCCCCAATTTTACCAGCCCTCCGTAGCCTCCTCATTGCATTAGCAAATCGCTGATTAAAAGAACAGATTATTGGTGAAAGGTAAACAACAAGCCTAACTTCAGATGCAGAAATTTGAGAAAAATAGTTGTTCCACTTCGAACATACCTGAGGACTCTTGTGCTTGCCTAGAATAAGTCCATTTAATGTGATAAGATAGGAAGTTGGCATGTGAAGTTCTTCTGGCGAAAGTTGTTCCAAGTCCTCAACACCCAAGCAGTAGCACTGTTCCACATGTCACAGAAATGGAACTTTACTAATTGAAACTAGCACAAACTGAAAAGTTGGATTTTTCTATCGCTATTAACGCAAAATACAACACAATAGGAAGTTAACTATCTCTTAAGGAGATGATGACAGTTTCACTTTCTTTGAGCTCACCTTTTCAACATGACCCTTAGCAACTCTCTACGAATTACGAAGACTAACATGAAGCAAGGAAAGTATGATTCTCCTCATTCTTGACTATACATTTCGGTCCATTTAGACCTGTCACATTCCAATATCCGAGACTACAATTTCTCAACATTTTCTACTAGCATACAATTCCAAAGTTATCAATATCATAGTACCAATGCAATCCCTCAATAAGTATAGCATGCAGAGCCTGTGATACCAACAAGTTTCATCATGTTGATCCTAAGTGCAAAACTGTTTTTAAAGCATAGAAAGTATGATAAGGAAAATACAAAGATATGTGAAATCATTACAGAGCACAAGATTACAATCAGCAAATTGCATTTAGGAGATTATAACCCCATCAAATCCCGCAGGGAAAATTTCAACAATTAACAAGCTCCTAGTCACATAGAAGAAATTATCATCCCCGTGCTTTTTCTTTTGATTGATTTTTTCTCAAGGAGACAATCAAACTAAGATAAGAAGAATTAGATTGCTATGCTATATCTAGATTACACATGAGACTATTCCCATAATTAGAAATCCTAAGGATAAAACTTTTCATATTCTCATCTAGAAATCCTACATAAGGAGCTGTCTTTATGTTGTTTTCACCAGTTCAATTAGCGTTTTAACTTTTTCATCACTTGTTTCTCCTACGAAAAACAAACATTACATTCCACAGGTAGATTAGTTTACAACAAATAGTGTGTGTAGGCAGACCTTACCCCTACCTCGGAAGGTAGAAAGGTTGTTTCAGATAGACCCTCGGCTCAAGTAAAAGCACTTCAAAGCAATTCGAAAAAAGAAAATAACGGGAGTGAAGAAGCAACAAAGTACTAAAGAAATCATGACAGAACATTCTTAAAAAGGTACAGTAACTATAACACAGGTAGATTAGTTTAATATAAAAATTTATGTAGTAATATGGTCAAAACATTGGGATCGAAAGATTAACAAGAAACAATCACATTCCTGGGCTTCCTTGTTTCCATGAAAGCTTCTAAACATAATCCTCCACTTCTGGTTTTAACTTTTATAATGATCATAGGCCGCTTGTGATTTTGAGATCTATAATATCAAGTGTAAAAGCTCAGAGTTAAGAAATAACCAAATAAAAATTCAGGATACTACTTGTCCGACTTCATTACACTTAAATATCAAGCAGTAGGAACATAAATAATAGAAACTGTACCAAAGACATGATTGGGCGCTCATCCTCATCCGTCGTAACATGAGTCATCAAGGCCAAGTTTTTCACCAATCCACAAGCTTCACCTTCTGGTGTGTCACAAGGGCAAAGCATGCCAAACTGGCTAGGTTGCAGTGCTCTAGGACCACTAACTTTTCTAGACTTTTCGAATTGCGGTGAGATCTTTGTCATGTGACCCAATGATCCAATGTATGATAGCCTAGCAACAACCTGAGTCATACCCTTCCTGTGCATCCTAAATCGTTTAACATCCCAATTGCCTGTAGATAGGGTTCTCTCCAGGCCCATAGTAATACTATCTTTGACTATGTATTGAGAAATGTCCAAACGGCTGGAGCGACTTGGCCTGGCTAGAAGAGTATCGATTGTCCTCCTAGCTTCATCATTCATCGTCTTGAACAAATCTTCAAAAAGGAGAGATAGTAGCTGACCGGAGAGCTCCAATCTCTTGTTCCCCACATAGTCCTTGTCATCCATTGCATCCTTGTTTAAGATTGCTTCCATCATGCGCCTCATCATTACTGCAACATATATGCATTTTTTGCGGAAATTATGTTGATGGACTGGAACATTTGCAAGAAATATGTCACGAAGAATACTCAAAGCTCGGGCTCCCTTCTCAACTGGGCCAGTAGAATATGAAGGCATTTTAAGCATCTTGTCACTCTCGAGGAACTCCAGTGCTTGATGTTGTGTATACAACTTGAGATCTGCACACTCCTCGATTGATGGCAAAAGCAGAGCACTAAACCGAGGATCTCTTCCTATCATTTGCACAACCTCTTGATCGCTCTCCATTCCCATGGCCTTCATGACAACCATTATGGGGACCTTGGTTTTGAACATATTCAACTCTAAGTATACCTTTTCTTTCTCCATTTTTATAATTGTTTTGCTCTTTGTTTTTTCTGTGCTGCTGGTAACAGATGCTTGTACAGAACCTTTTTTATCTGTATCAATGATTATCCTGTTCTTCGAGAGCTGCTCTTGAATTAAAATTACCTTCTCAGTGCCTTTGATTACAAAATATCCTCCAGGATCAAGTGGGCATTCTCCAAGTCTTGCTAGTTCATCTTCATCTTTACCATATAGCACGCAACAACTGCTTCTAAGCATAATTGGCATCCTTCCAATGATAACATTCTTCTTTGTTGACACTGATGTTTGCCCATGACTTCCAGTCGTGTATTCAATGGTGACATAAATTGGTGCCGCATAGGTACGGTCAGATAGTCGGCATTTCTGTGGACATAATTTCTCAGTTACAGCATCAAAAACCATTGACGGTTCACCAATGTGGACATCCCTGTACCTAAGATAAATATTGGGGTCCAATATTGATCTAATCTCCTGATTCGCTCGGACAATCTTCTTTATTTCCGTCCTAACAAAATAATTGAAGGAGTCCAAGTGTTGCTTCACCAAACCTCTCACCTTTAGGAATTCTGGAACAAGTTGATACTTGTCCACCAAATTCTTAATGGGAGAAGCAAGGTGCTGCTTGTCAATTCCCTGGTTTGAGTCCTCTGTCGTATTGGACATGGTAGAATCATAACCCATACCTCCTGCCAATTAATTTTCCAGCTGAACAAAGACAGAAATAATGAGATTGTAGCAGGAGCAAGGATGGGAGTCAAAACAATGCAATATGATTTCTTTTCCCCTGCCATAACAAGGTATAAAGCACAATTAGTGGGGGGGACTAATTTAAGAGCAATTTTACACAAATATACAAGTAGAACTATTAACCATCACTAGCAGCGTGTATCCAGAAAGTGACATGTTTATGTAATGAGAAAGATGCAGGTATACATACACAAGTACGAGTGGCAGTTCCCTTACAAATTTCTGTTTTATTCCGACCACATTTCAAGAATAAAGCTTCGTAGCTGGCCATTCCCACACAGTATCATTTAGAGAAGCATAGGAACTTTTTAAGTATATAGCAAACCATAGTATTTGTTTCCATCTATCCGCATTCTACCATCTAGAAATCAACACAAGTACACAAAAGAAAAATACCAAATCATTCTTTCTTTTCATCTCCAACACAACTGAACCATTGCAAAAAATTGAAAATCGGGAATCAAAGCCCTAAAGCATTGCAAAACTAGCATACCATTTTGATCCCCAAATTCTTTCTTTAAGTGAATGCTAATTATTTGGTTCCTTTTAGAGCCAAGTATCTAAACCTCCCACTATATGTGGTTCCACAAAGGCCGGACTACAAGAGTGTATTGTACAGAGTCTTAACCTGCATTTCTACAAGAGGCGGTTTCCACCACTTAACCCATAACCTCCGGGTCATATATTTATCAGTTACGTCAAGACTCCCCTTCTATTTGATTCTCATATTTTACAGTGAAGCATTCAAACGAAGATGAAAAATCCAATCGTATCAAAACATCAGCAAATCTAAACAACTTTTTTTTCTGAAATCAAAAACTTAACAACTGAAACTAAAGCGGAAGAAGGCTTACGATTTGAAGCCCAAATTTTCAGGCCGATTGCTCGTTTGCAGTTTCTACTTCAGAGCTCTGCTCCAAGGGTTTTAATGGAACCCAGCCAAAGTGCAGGCAAAAGAGTGAGGGTTTTAGGGAAAAGGGAAAAAGGAAAATGAAAGTTTTTTTGGCCCAAAAACAAATTGTAAATAATTAATGGAAAAGTTGTGTAAAAATTATTTTACTTTATTTGACATATCGATTCATGAAAAATCTGAATTCTTTGAAGTTGTATTTATAATCTATTTTTAAGTCAATTTTCACTTTTAAAATCAAGCATGAAGATTATTTCAAAAAAAAAATTTCAAAATATATCAAACTCAATTTTATTTTTAACTCTTATTCTATAAATTTAAAATAAAATGAAAAATATTTGTAATCTATAGCTACTTAGCTAGAGACCTACTAAGTATTTTAACAATAATAAAGTATCATATTATATTTATAAAAGTATATTTGTGCTAATTTAGTATTTCTCTTTTATTATTATACTATTACTCACAAAATATGGCAATAAGATTAAAATGATTGATAATAAGAAAAGGTTCATGATTAATCTTTAGAGTTCATCTTGGACATTTAGGGCTCAATTTACAGGAATTAGGTAATTTGCTCAGTTTTTCATGTGTGTTAGTCCATGAATATTTTGACGATATGATTTCCAGAAGAGTTCTTTGTGAAACCTTTATAGAACCCTCCGTAGGGAGTTGGGGGGAGCAGTACGTATAGTCTCACAATTTTAGAGTCCATTTTGAGAAATTTTAGGGGGCAATTTACAGAAATTAAACGTTTTTTCTCAATTTTTCATGTGTATTAGCTCATTAATATTTTGGTTCTATGACTTTCAGACGTTTAATTTGTGAAACTTTTACGGAACCCTCTGTAGTGAATTGGGGGAACAGTATGTACAATCGCACAATTTTTAGAGTTCATTTTGGACATTTAGGGTCAATTTACATAAATTAGGTGATTTTTTCATATATTTTTTTGTGTAATAATTAGCTAATTAATATTTTGATAATATGACTTTCGGATGATTTCTTTGCAAAAACATTTCTGAAACTTTCCGTAGGGAGTGGGGGGAGCAGCACGTACAGTGTCACAATTTTTAGAGTCCATATAGGGATTAATTTACACGAACTAGGCAATTTTCGTCAGTTAGCCCAAGAATATTTTGGTGACATAACTTTCGGATGATTTCTTTGCAAAATCTTTACAAAACCCTCCGTAGGGAGTTGGGGGAGCAGTACATACAGACTCACAATTTTTAGAGTTCATTTTGGATATTTAGAGGCCAATTTACATGAATTGAGCGATTTTCTCAGTTTTTTGTGCGTGTTATATCATGAATATTGGTGATATGGCTTCCGGATGAGTTCTTTGCAAAAACGTTAGGGAACCCTCCATAGAGAGTTGGGGGAGCAGTACGTACAATCTCACAATTTTTAAAATTCACTTTGGGCAATTATGGGCCAACTTACAGGAATTAGACAATTTTCTCAATTTTTTCGTGTGTGTTAGCCTTTGAATATTTTGGTGATATGGCTTTTAGAAGATTTCTTTACGAAACTTTTACAGACCTCTCTGTAGGGAGTTGGGGGAGTAGTACGTACAATCTTACAATTTTTTAGAGTCCATTTTGGTCATTTAGGGGACAATTTGCAATAATTATGCGATTTTCTCAACTTTTCATGTGTGTTAGCTCATGAATATTTTGGTAATGTGGCTTTCGGGTAATTTCTTTGCAAAACCTTTACGAAACCCTTCGTAAGGAGTTGGGAGCAGTACATACAGGTTCACAACTTTTAGAGTTCATTTTGGGCATTTAGGGGTCAATTTACAAGAATTAGACAATTTTCTCAGTTTCTTGTGTGTAACACCCATGAATATTTTGATGATATGGTTTCGGTACAGTTTCTTTGTGAAAAATTTATGGAATCCTCCGTAGAAAAATGGGGGAGCAGTACGTACAGCCACACAATTTTTAGAATTCATTTTGGGCATTTAAAGACAATTTACAGGAATTAGGCGATTTTTCTCAATTTTTCGTGTGTGTTAGTTAGCCTATGAATATTTTGGTGATATGACTTCTGAAAGTTTTTTGCAAAACCTTTACGAAACCCTTCAAGTGGAGTTGGGGGACCAGTACGTACAATCTCATAACTTTTAGAGTCCATTTTGGACATTTAGGGTCCAATTTACAGGAATTGTGCAATTTTTTCAGTTTTTCGTATGTGTTAACCCATGAATATGTTGGTGAAAAAGCTTACAGACGATTTCTTTGTGATAACTTTGTGGAACCCTTCATAGGTAGTTGGGGGAGTAGTACGTACAATCTCACAATTTTTAGAGTCCATTTTTGACATTTACGGGTCAATTTACAAGAATTATGTGATTTTCTCAATTTTTCATGTGTGTTAGCCTATGAATATTTTGTTGATAGGGCTTTCGGACGATTTATATGCGAAATCTTTACGGAACCCTCCTTGGAGAGTTGAGACAGAAGTACGTACAATCTCACAATTTTTAGAGTCCATTTTTGACATTTACGGGTCAATTTACAAGAATTATGTGATTTTCTCAATTTTTCATGTGTGTTAGCCTATGAATATTTTGTTGATAGGGCTTTCGGACGATTTATATGCGAAATCTTTACGGAACCCTCCTTGGAGAGTTGAGACAGAAGTACGTACAATCTCACAATCTTTAGAGTTCATTTTGGACATTTATGGGTCAATATATAGGAATTAGACGATTTTCTCAATTTTTTGTGTGAGTTAGCCTATGAATATTTTATGAAATAGCTTCCAGATGATTTCTTTGTGAAATCTTTACGAAACCCTCCGCAGGTAGTTAGGGGAACAATAAGTACAGTCTCACAATTTTTAGAGTCCATTTTCGACATTTACGGGTCAATTTACAAGAATTAGACCATTTTTTTCAATTTTTCGTGTGTGTTAGTTAGCCTATAAATATTTTGGTGATATGACTTTCGATTGATTTTGTTGCAAAACCTTAATGAAACCATTCATAGAAAATCGGAGGAGTAGTACCTACAGTATCACCAACAGTAACAACAACATCCCATATTCCACGTTATGTTGGTAGTGAACGAGTTCAATAGGGATAATCAAACTCATCGGCCTTTAGGACTTGAAGTGAACCTTCAAGAAGTGAGCATCTCAGTAGCTCTTAGGTGAGTGAGTGTATGGAAAGATTAATTTCCCATGGTGCATAGTAAACGCACACCAGTGAGATACCAAGAGGATTATCGCGATTTACTGATTTTCAATACGTGGTCTAGCATGATCTCGCATAACTAATACATGAATAACTAAACCTTGCATAACTAATTTATATGCTACTAATGCCTGCAACTCTAATCAACAACCAAATAACCATGCAAAACTTGTTACATACTTTATTCAAACTAAAAAAGGTTCGCGTGTACTTGATCAGGCTTCCCCTGATTCTGGCATTTTACTAAGTAAAACGATACTCGAGTTCAAAAAACTGTAGAAGAGCTTCTGTCTGAGGGTTCCTATAGAAAACTTGACCATTAGCAACAGGTTGAGAATTAGGATTGTAGCATGGCGCAGTCTGAACAAATTCAAATGGCGCATTGAATCCTCTTGTTCGTAGTTTATTTCTTACAAACTGACGACACTTTTCTATGTCAACATGAATAATATTGTCATAATTCGCGTTACTCATTGTCAAGGGCAAGACAGCATTATACTCTCTCATGCATACACCCTTCTACTGCTATCCTCATCTTTATGATCACTAATCAGAAATTAGCGACAAACAAATTTTGTAGCTAACAGCAAAACAAATTTTGTAGCTAATCAACAAAATTGTGACTAATTCTATTTAGCTAGGTTTAGCAATAGTTATAAAGAAAGAATAGAGGAAACCAAATTTGTTTAGAATTCAGTTTGTATTAAATAGGATTTATAGTAAAAAAAATACTCCATATAGGAAAATATTTTATTGGAATACAATTTACGGTCAAAGTTGTTTTTTTACTATTTAAGGAATATTGCCTATTTTATGAGATTCTGAATAAATATTTATTTTTTCATATAGAAAGAAAAAGCACTTTGAACACCGAAGAACACTTTGACTTAAAAGGAGTGTTTGTTTCTAACTATATTTAGAGCCTGTTTGAGTCAAATTATGAAAAAAGACAAGTATGATCAATGATGTATTAAGATTATTTTATGGATTGAAATTATTTTTAATATCTACTGCAAAAAAAAAAATTATTTTTATTAAATTAAAATGTACATATTCAAATTTTAAATCAATATTATACTCTTTTGGAGGGCTAAAATCTTCAATTATTATTTTTTCTTTTTCTAATCTTGGAAAAATATTGTTGTTATATTTTTTCTAGTTGTGCAGAATAATACGTGATATAATAAATAAAATAATAATACATAAACGTAAAATAAAATATAATAATTTATTATAGAAAAATAAAAAATATAAATATAAATTTTTTGAATGAAACTTAACCAAACTTATGAGATATGATAATTAATTAATAGGCATAATACATATATTGACCCCTAAACTTGGCTTCAAATTTTAACTTTGACCTCCAACTTTCATAATGCACAAATAGGCACTTTAACTATCCTACCTTTAAATAAATAAACACACGATTTTCGGAGCCAAAGAGCGTGAAATGCAAACGCTCCCACGTGTATTAGTGAGCCACTCAATGGCTGCCAACTAATTAAATATTTTACACGTCATTTTAGAACTTAAAAAAATCAAAATTAATTTTAATTTATATACAAGAATCAAAATTAATTCCTCCTAATGGTTTTGCTAGCTTGGAGCTCATTGGGTCTGTTTTCATGGGGTTTGGGGGGTCATTTGGTTGCTGTTTTGTGTCTGGTTCGAGCTGCTGGTTGCAGCAGTGTTGTTTCGTGATGATTCTCGCCGGAGATGGCGGATCTGATGGGTTTGGGGTCGGGTATTTGGTGGGTTTAGCGAGCTCGAAGCTAGTTCGCTTCATGGGTTGTGCTCCGGTGTGAGGAAGAAGGAGAACGGCTGGGTTGGAGGTACTTGTTTGGGGGTCATTTGGTGGTGGCTTTTTGCCTGAAAAAGAAGAAAATAAACGG